GTGAACTTGTCTTTAACTGATTACTTTAGCTACATTAGGTATTAAAATTTGTTTATCTGATTGTCCTCATGACAGTTTTATGCCTACTTCTTCGATTGGGGCATGAAAGAGGAGATCAGTGAACTCGTTGCAATCAGGTCAAGGAACCGGATCAGACCTGACAGTGTCCTGCGTATTCTAGCTTCTGCTGCAGATCTTATGTAGCTTCCATATATGAGAAAATCATAATTAAGATTGGTCCAAGGTATGATGTTGGGAACCTACCAAATTGCAACTTCTGGAAATGACTACCGCGTGTGGGAGAAAAAGCATGTGCCCTTGTTGGAATGAAAACTAACTACAACTTCTGTATTACAGGTGTCTTATATGCTTATTATTGAGGAAAAACAAATAGTAGTCCTCAACCGAAAATGAAAATTCGATTCATTAAGGCCCCAATGAGGTTAGTACAAGAAAGTTAATTCAATTTACGTGTAGAATTTCTCTGGAAGCAACCATTTGGCCAAGTCAGGTTAGTGTTAATGTTGTCTGGTTTGATTCTGATAGGAGCATATTTATGCGTCTTAGTTAGCTTGTTTTCTTGCATTTATGTTGTTAGTTCCTAGTTATTTTAGTATTTTAAGCTATTTTCGTGTGTTTATAGGTCCAAAGGGCTAAAGAGGCAAGAAAGTGCATTTTGGTGCATTTTGGAGCAGTTTTGAGCTTGGAATGGATAGCACATGCATGGAGCAAGGTGAATGGACGAAATTGAAGTTCAAGAAGGGCTAAGAATATGCTAAAGAGATGGAAGAAATTAATTTAAGACTTGGAAGAAAAGGAATCAGCTACAAAGAAGGAAACATGAGTCAAACTTCCTTATTTTGTCTTAGTCAATCATAATCTTTTCCTACTTAATTTCCTGCTACAAGGAGGATCCCTATTTAATTTAGGACACCTAAATATATGTTTCTAGAAGTCCTAATCCCATTCCTAAAAGGAGCCGCACCTTTTTCTTCTAGAAAACCAAATCCTTGCCGTGCAAACCTCTTTCCCTTTCTTTCCTGGATCTGCCACATATCACTTACCCTTTTCCTCTTGGGATTTTGATTTGTTACCCTTTCCTTGGAGGATTTGGAGTCTTAAACCTTTCTCAATTTAATTCCAATCGTGCCCTTCCTTCCCAGATACAAAAGAGCCTTGCCACACCAAAGGGGGGAGCCATTCACTACTATTCATACTTTCAGCCATTCTTTCATGCAATTCATCACTCAAACCTTCACCACCTTGTGTCGCAGCAAAGAAGAAGAAGAAGGAGGACCCTGGGACGTGCTTGCCATTCAAGCTTGAATTGTTGGAGTGTTTCTAGGTGTATTCAATATTTTGTTTTCAATGTTTAAGTTTAATTATCTTTGTTTTGCGAACATGAGCAGCTAAACTTGTTTTAGCTAGAGGAGACTTTGAAACTATGATTATATTTGCAATATGAATTGATTAATTCCAGTTGTGATTTCATAAATCGTGAATGCAATTTACTTAACTGTTGGATTAAGAACTTATTCTTGTATGTTGATTAAGGAGGCCTACTTAGTTTGCATGCATGAATTTGATACTAGAATATAAGGGAGTTTCACATAATCGTTACAAACTTATATTCACAAGTAGTGAAGATCGCTAGTCACGATCGTGTTAAGTTAAATTCCTAGCATGAGTATCATGATGTCATAGTTACGAATGCCCTGTCAATGCTTATGATTTTCACAGAGCTTAATGATCTTTGCTTGTGTCTCTATTATGCAGTTCATGTAGGGAACTTGGGAAGAATAATTTGGTTGCCGATGCATTGTCTGTCCAATTCAATGACTTAAGGAAAATCTGAGGGTTAATCAGTGATAACACGGTTAATCTGGGGTGTTGATATTCATGGTTTATTGGAAAAGCAACTGGAAATCGATTTGTATGCAAGTGTATCATGTGTGGAAAATGACCTTCTAGCTAGCTTATCACCCATCTAAACACCCAATTCGTCCAAAGTTGTTTAGAGTCTTTAATTTACTTGTTTTTACTTTAAATTCGTCAAACCCTAATCCCCTTTACTTTGTTGTGTCAAATTAGTTAGAATCTGTCTAAATTTCTGTTTTTGAGTGTTTTGAGTCAAAATTAATTCAATTTTCGTCCAAAGTAAGTCCTAATGTTTGTTTTGAGTCTTTTTTATTGTTTTGTGCAGTTTTGAGTTTGCTTAGCTTGTTTTGAGTCATATAAGCTAGTTAAGAGTCTTAGAGTCTAGTTTTCTATTTTTAAGTTTAGTTTTGTATTTTTAAGTCAGCTTAGAGTAGATTAGCAATCCCTCCCTAGAATGATCCCTACTTATCCATACTATAATTCTCAACAAAAGGGTTTAATTTGAGTGCTGGTTTATAACACATAAGATTCAAGGGCATGTTAAGAATTCTTATCGATCAAGAACATTACACACCTAAATTTTTTAACTAAACTGGTTCAATTGATGGTGTGTGAACATGCATTGTCCCTTCTTAGTTGTTAAAACAAAAATGGGGATCAAAGTAGACTCGAATCTGAATCAGTGCTACTGCTTTACTTGACAAACAAACTTTAGTAACGCTAGCGACACTGCTAAAGCTTTCACAGACGAGCGATTATAAGCATTCATGGTTGGAATTTGATGTGCAAAAGTAGTAGACGCAGCAAACTGCACTTTAATTTCAAAAAAACAGCACAGAAAACTTATCTAATGGTTCAAGATCCTTGTTGAAGTAGGAATGGAACCCTAGTCATTAGTTTATCGGTAAAGTAGTGGTCAGAGTTTCTGTTAAACAAAACAGTCAGGATTTCACTTACCAAAACAGTCAAGTTTTTCATGTCTTTTGGCAAAGTATCAATCAGGGTTTCACTTGCCAAAATAGTCAGGATTTTGGAATCAAGTCAACTCTCCTCCTAAGGTTGATCATAAATTCATAATCTCCTTATGATTCATTTTGCAAGTTTGTAATTACGGATAGTTCCTACAAAGGATCGAACTAATGACATATACAATACTTGAATTGCTACATAGTTGATTCTCATCCTTCAAAGACTGAGTGTAATAGGAGCATCCGTCGACAAAAGGATCACCCTAAGATAATCACCTCATGGCTATTGAGAACGAATCAAATCAGATGGTTCTATTTCTCAATCTTTCTTACTTGCTCCTACGGAACCAAGGTCGAAAAGATTGAGCCCATTCACAACTACTGATGAAGAATTCCTCGAAAAGTTAAGGCTTAGTAATCCTTTTTAGAAATCGAATGGATTCGGTTTTATACATACGCAAGGAAGGTAATCAAAAAAGAAAGAAGATGAGTCTTGTTTATATATATAGAAAAAGAACATTCACAAAACAATTCAAGGCTTCAAGGTCATAGGAGACATGAACGCTGGGTCCGTTTCCCTCAACTGTTTCCTTCTCTTCATCACTCTCACATCCAACTTCACTGCTTCTCAGATTCTATTTCAGGTATTTATATGAATACTTAACCTCTCTCTCTGTCACTCTCCCTCCCTCCCTTAGAGACTAACATGATGGTGGTCAGAGGTTCAATTGGGAATCAAGCAAGAAAGGAGGATGGTACAACATTTTAAAGTAGTCTGTACAAGATGAGAGAGGAAACTGCAGAGAAGCAAGATGAGAGAGGAATATGGTGCATCTTCGAAGGAGGAACTAACGATAATCGTCTTGATTGGGGCCCATCTCTTATTTACAGCAATGACACGGCTTATTCTGATGGCAAGGGGAACCCTGACACTAGAGAGGACTTTGGCGCTGCTCCTGACATTGACCACAAAAACACTAGGGTCCAGAAAGAGCTCTCGGATTGGATGAATTGGTTAAAGACTGATATTGGATTGAGTGGTTGGGCATTTGATTTTGTCAAGGGATATGCTCCTGAATTTACCAAGTTGTATGCGACAAACACAAGTCCAAATTTCACATTAGGGGAACTTTGGAATTCCCTTTCTTATGGAAGTGATGGAAATCCGGACCCTTATCAGGATGCGCATCGTGGAGAGTTAGTGGGATGGGTGGAGAGTGCCGGAGGAGATGTCACAGCATTTGATTTCACAACTAAAGGGATACTTCAGGCTGCAGTCCAAGGGGAGCTTTAGTGGCTGAAGGACTCCAACGGCGATGCTTCGGGGATGATTGGCGTGAAGCCAGGAAATAGTGTAACTTTCATCGACAATCATTATACAGGTTCTCCACAACATGTGGCCGTTTCCATCTGGTAAGGCCATTCAAGGATATGCCTACATTCTCACCCATCCAGGAATCCCATCAATTGTAAGCTCTTACTCTTTCATCTAGCTTTAAGTAACGCTAGGCAAACCAAATTCACACCATTGTTGACACATTCACTAATAAAGTCGGTCCACATGAAGTGATAAAGTCCGCCTGTATTAGAATGTGTCGACAATGGTGTTAGTTTTACGTTTTTCACAAGCTAGAAATTTGCCATCTTTCTTTACGATGAACTACCTTTCCAATCTATATAAATATAAAAAAAAATGTGAGACTTGCGGCAGAGAAAGAAGTGATTGATTAGCATTTGAGTTATTTCTATTCCCTTATTTATAATTGATCTTACGGTACATGCTTAAATTTGTTATCTGATTATTGTTGTAACAGTTTTACGACCACTTCTTTGACTGGGGTTTGAAAGTCGATCTCTAAACTCACTGCAATCAGATCGAGAAATGGGATCAAACCCAACATTGCCTTGTGCATTCTAACAGCTGATGCATATGTCTATCTAACTGCCATAGATGAGAAAATCATCGTCAAGATTGGTCCGAATAGCAACGTAGGCCAACTTACACCTTCAAACTTCCACATTTCGACTTCTGGATGTTAACCATAGTGGAGAACTCAAGAACATAAAAAATGGAGAGAAAGCTTGAAAGAGAAGATACTAAAATCTTTGATTATTTTCTGTCAAAATGAATCTTTCCACAATCTTTGGTCTGACTTATTACAACAACCTTATCTTGGTTACAAGATTATCCATTACAGCTAATCCTAACAACCTTTATAACTGCCTAGTGTAATCTATCTCCCCGTTGACTGACAAGTGGCACAATCCTCATCATTCATTCTTCATACTCTTAACACCGGAGAATGTTTGACTTAGATGCTAAGGTTCCAAGGAGACATCTTTCGACTTCTGGAGAATGTTTACAACAAAAAGGACACCTGCTGATTGAAATATATTCAGTGCTAATTCTCAAGTATTTCAGTGCACTACAGACTGCAGAGTGTGAATGTTCTTCGAAGTTGGCAATACAATTACAAGTGTATTATGTGCTTAGTTATCAATCCGACCAAACCAAATTGATAACTAATTAAGCATGTAACAAATTAACTTGGGGTTAGTTTAAGTGGTGAGGTCAAGTGGAAAACATTGTTGGTTAGGTGGGATTAGGGATGGGAAAAATACCCACGTGGGTATGGATAACCGTGGTTACTAGCCCATTTAAAATTAACGATTACAGTTATGGGTAACCGTTTAAATAAATAAACGATTGTGACTATAACCGTTTACCCGTTACACTTAAATTGACGGTTATGGGTATTCCTCGCGGTTATAAATGGGTACCTGTTTAACCGTTTATTCCAATATATATAAATTTTAAAATAAAAACTAAAAAAACTTTAAAATTATAAGACAAATCTCAAACTTCTGTTGCTCATCTCTCTCCTCGCCACCCTCTCTCTCTTCTCCACCTCTCTCTCTCTCATCTCAAGCAGAACAATCGGTCTCTTCAATTAATCAAAAGAGAGGGTTTATGACTATCACTTGTCATTTTATTGATGCTTTGTAAACACTACAAAGTCAAATTTTGAAGTAATTCATTAGTTCATATAGTACATGTGATACATATAATTTTTTGCGTACTTTAGATTCAATGACATGTTGCATCAATGACAAAAATGATTGGTTTTATTGTAAACTCCAAACCTCCTAATGACATGATAAAAGTAGATTAATTCTTAAACTTGTCTGTTTTGTTATTCATCATTTCATCTCTATTTTGCAAGAGACGGAAAGGGTAAAGTGGGTAAGCCCACCATTGGAACACTGCTATACACATTGTTAAGACTTGATGCTCGTATCAAAGTGATTCTCCTGACTTATGTACATGTATAAATTATATAGGTAATTACACTAAAGTACCTCAACTTTAGGTCAAACTATAATATTATACTTCATGTTTTAAACATTGCAATTTCATACTTCAACTTATAAATTCGTTGCAATGTCAGACCTTCGTTAAATTTTCTATCAGTTTGGCTGGTAAATGATGACGCGTCAGGAGTGGGGCATATTTCTTAGAATAAAAAATTAATTAATTAATAATAAATTAAGGAATTTTTTTGTTTGAAAATTTTAAAATTAATTAACAAAATTCCTCTCCTCTGCGGCTTCATGCCCTCCAACCGCCCCCACCTCTCAACTTCACCCCATTCTTAGAAATGGATTTACCTAAAGCTTAAAGCTATGAAATTCAAGCAAAATCACAACCACCATGATTGGAGAAAGAGAAAATAATCATACTTAGAAGGGATTTTACTTTATTGCTCTGCAAATGCCCAAAGAAATGCCATTCAATGTCCTCCAGAAGCTGCAACACCCAAACGATCACCAAAATTTAAATTTCTTTCAGTACAAATAGGTTGCCCAAAACTCTTTAGAGAGAGGCATAAGTTTTATACCTGAGGAGCTTTGTCGACGATTTCTTGGACGTAGTTTTCACCGAAACAGCGATGGCCGGTGTCGTACACTTGGCGGAGCAGGGAGACTGGCTTCGTCTTGCTCATCGCCACCACTCGGATGTTTTGGGCTTCACGCGCTGATTTTTCAGCTGCCTGCTGGATCCGCTGCAGCACCGAGCGGAGCGCCGTCTCGTGGACACCGTCGATTGCGGCGGAGCTGGCATGCCTGGTTGCTCCTCTTTTTCGGGTTCGTTTTCTCTCTCCGCTTTCTCCAAATTGTTGGTTTGCGAATTGTGATTACACATCCATTGCATCTGTGGCGTGGAAGCTTAATGATTCGCCATTGCCATTGCCTCCAATCCGGCAACCTCCGCTTCGTCAACGGCTCCAGCATCACTCTCTGGGACTCAACACCGCCAGCCACAGCGTCTCGTCGGCTGAAATTGGCGATTTGATTCGAGCAAATTGGTAACCCAAAACGGCACCGTTCCGGACTGTTCCAACTTCGATAATCCCACTGATTCGATCGTCCAGGGCAGAAATTCACTATGAGTAAGGTTTTGCGATCTGGGTTTTCTTGTTTAAGCTTGAAAAAAAATGGGAATCTTACACTGGTAGCGTGTACTGGAAGGCCATTAAGAAGCTTGGAGAAGGACAAGGGAGAGAGAGAAGCGGAGAGACAAGAGAGGGATTCTTTTTATTTAATTTTAATTTTTTCAAACAAAAAAATTTCTTAATTTCTTAATAATTAATTAATTTTTTATTCTAAAAAGTGGGCCCTGCACTTGCCACATCATTATTTAACAGTCAAATTGATAGAAAATTTAATGGAATTCTGACATTGTAATGTTTAAAATATGAGATATAAGATTATGGTTGGATCCAAAATTAAGGTATTTTGTGTAATTTATCCAATTATATAATAGCATTTGCTTACACACTTTGTGTGTATGAACATATTTTTTAAGAAAATAAGAAGGAGAGAGGGAGAGAGGGAGAGAGAGAAAGTGGGGGGAGTGGGAGGTTTTTGTTTTTGGTTTTTTGTTTTTATTTTTATTTTTATTTTTTTATAAAAATTGGAGTTATTTTGGTTGTGTAAAATTACATTTTTACCCAATATTTCTTATTCATGTTATATTTTAATTAGAGGGTTAAACTGATAATTTCATAAGATTTTGGTTGACAATAAGTGTTTTAATAATTAGTGTGTATATATATATATATCCTAATCTCTCCATATTGAAATGGTATGAGGATTTAAAATATTGAAATACAAAAATGAATGTTAAATGTATATATAAATGGATAAAAAAAATGTGTAGACGAGTAAAAAAAAAAAGAAGGGTAAATGGGTAAAAAAGGGTAAAAGGCTAAACGGGTAAATAGGTAAATAGGTATGCCGTTACAGTTAAATGGGTACGCAGTTACTGGTACAGTTAACCGTTAGTACTAACAGTTATAGGTAGAAGTATAACTGTTTATGCAATTACCCAACTGGTAAACAGTTATACAAGTATGGATTTAAATGGTTATGGATAAATAACCGGGGTTACCCATCTGCCATAAACGTTGCCCATCCCTACATGGGATCAAGCGTTCGATTCCCTTTCATCGTAACAGAAAAGTTCGCACTAAATACACTAGCACAAAATAACACATACAAGACAATTCTCAAACGAAAAAATGCACATAATGATTTAACGAGTAGTACATCTCGAAGATCTCTATTCAATTTAGAATGTGAATTTTCTGCAAAATAAATTGGATATATGGTTTGATTCCAACCTAAATGTCTACATCAACTATTTTCTTTACGTCCAGACGTAATAGTTTTTAGTTTTATTTATTTTATTTATTTATTTTTTCTTTATTTATGTCCCACTGCATAATGTTTGGAAAGTGAAAGGAGGGGGTCGAATTTAACATTGGGAGAAATATTACTAGATCAGTAGCTTATGAACAATCTTTTACTACTGCAACTAGACTTAAAAGTAGGGGAGGAGAGATAGGAAGAGAACAAATGTAACGTCTCATCCCTGATATACTTATTTCTAAGAAATAATTCTGATGATAGACCCAATTTAAACTCTTGTTTAATTTACTACCATTAATCACGATTCTTTACTTCAATTCCTTAATTCCTCACAAAATTATATCCATATTTTAATTATCAAAACATACGATTAAATTATCAATTTAATCCCCAAATTTCTTTTATTAAAATAATTTCTCAACAAAAGATTAATTCTCAATTATTTAGGGCTACATCTAACCCCTGTTAGACTGCCAACGTACCCTTGAGCGGGATCAAGCCCTTCGTAGTTCACCATTCATTTTTTTTATCCATTTCCAAAAATATTCTAGTTCACCATTCATACAATTAAATTGTAAGATCCCACATCGACGATTGAGGGTTGAGCCTGGGCCTTATATGTCCATGCCCACATGTACCTTTCAGTGAGGCCTTTTGGAGTTGCGGCTTACAGAAACAAAACCGTGCGGTAGCTCGTTGTGGGGTCGGACCGGTGCGCCGGGTTCCACCACGGTCGAGAATGCCAAAACGGACAATATCACTGCGAGGGAAGGCGGGATGTGACAATTTGGTATCAGAGCCAGACTCAGGCTCGCGCGGTGTGCCGACGAGGACGTCGGGCTCCCTAAGGGGGGTGGATTGTAAGATCCCACATCGACGACTTGAGGGTTGAGCCTGGGCCTTATATGTCCATGCCCACATGTACCTTTCAGTGAGGCCTTTTGGAGTTGCGGCTTACAGAAACAAAACCGTGCGGTAGCTTGTTGTGGGGTCGGACCGGTGCGCCGGGTTCCACCACGGTCGAGAATGCCAAAGCGGACAATATCACTGCGAGGGAAGGCGGGATGTGACAATTTTAGTATGGGTAAGAATCATACCCTCAAAAGTATCCATTAATACTAAGATTCACCACAGATTGTTGTCGATACAAACTTAGCAGCTAAAACCTGAAGGGCACCAAACAGAAAATGTGAGTAAGCAATAAAACCAAGCTTCCCAAAGTTATTACCTCTCTAAAAGTAATGCCCCTAAATGTAAAACCCGTATCGTTTTCCATAAGACAGTACAACATATATACATATATCCAAACCATACTCAGAAATGACCAAAACCACGGTTTGCCATTAACTCCACCATACATTAAGTAGGCCAAATGAACTAAATCAATACAAAGTGATATATCAGTCAGAGTCATCTAAAATGACATGTACAACTTATCAGTATCTCATCAATCATGGCTAGCATATAAGTCGGAGTCACCTCTAGTGACCTGTACGACTTATCCATATCTCATCAATCCTGGCTAGCATATAAGTCGGAGTCACCTATAGTGACCTGTACGGCTTATCCATATCTCATCAATCCTGGCTAGCATATAAGTCGGAGTCACCTATAGTGACCTGTACGACTTATCCATATCTCATCAATTCTGGCTAGCATATAAGTCGGAGTCACCTATAGTGACCTGTACGACTTATCCATATCTTTAAAGAATCAATACTAACGGCGGTAGGACAATGATAGAATTATTTGGTAATATCTCTGGCGATACCTGATTATCAAAACATTAATTTAGGTCATCAACTTGCCTCAAATCTACACTTCCCCCCCCTCAAGGGAAATCTTCGTTTTAGTTCTATGGACATGGCCAAAATGATTTTATAAAATGTCGTCAAGGCCACAAGATTGTCCAAAACTGAAGAAAAGTTAACATATTTTTCCATATTCGACGAGGTGGCATCATTCGAACGTCAAACACAAAAACCAAGAGTACTCACATCACGCGTGTGATGAACACAATACTGCCCAACATATGCTCTGACATCGCGTGTGAAATGGGTTCGCTCCCACTCGTAGCGCACTCTGGTACTTAGACACTTTTAGATTCAAATTTATTCACTTTTTGTACACTATCACATTTTATGGCTTCGTCACCTTCCAGGTGTCGGCCAGCACAGCTCGATTCAGGGTCCAAGTGGACTTTCTGGGTCGGGGTGTGTCATAAATTATCAATTTAATCCCCAAATTTCTTTTATTAAAACAATTTCTCAACTAAAGATTAATTCTCGATTATTTAGGGTTGCTTCTAACCCCTGTTAGACTGCCTACGTACCCTTGAGCGGGATCAAGCCCTTCGTAGTTCACCATTCATTCTTTTATCCATTTCCAAAAATATTCTAGTAAAGAAAATATTCAACATTAGCTTTCACAATCGAATCACACCAAATGGGTACTATAACGCCCTAGAAATTCTGTATGAAAACTATTCACGGTGATAGGTCCAAAATAAAATCATCATTAATTAATATTCTATTAACCACCATAAATCAAATTCGATCATTTCATGGCTAAATATATATATATATATATATATATATATATAATCACATTTAAATTGAAATCACATTTATGTAACCATTTCATATTCACAAATGATATTAATTTAAGAAATCAGGGTAATAATCATATCACATAAATTCGAGTCACTCTCTAACCAATGTAGGCCTACAAGACTTCACTTAGTATCCCGTAGTACTAAATTTAAGATTCAGAACGTTACGATCCATGTTGACCAAAAGTCAACTCTCGATCAACGGTAGGGTCGACAATCCTACGAAATTTGATCCGGAAGATTCGCCCATCAGATTTTGGATCTGTAACTTCCTAAGGTCCGCATTATGCTTATAGAACGATATACTAAATTCTCATCGCCCTGACTCGCCAGAAAATTCAACTATTTCCAAAAATTACCAAATTTTACAGGCAATTTGGCCTGGAAAAGCTTCAATTTCCCTTGAATCCGCCGGAACCCTAGAATTTGGGTGTTATTCAATTCGACCAATTTTCAACACCACCGCCCCTAAAACAATTTGGGCTTTGTCCCTGGCCTCAGGAAAAATGGTTTGATGGTGATGGTGGTTGACATTACTTTCACGATCGTCGGATTTCCGCCGTGGCACCCTTGGAACCTATAAGTTCCGTTCTGCCCGAATTCAAGCTCAAACCTAATAAAATTGGGGTGGGAATGGAAAAGGGGAAAAGGCTGATTGATTTGAGGGTGGTGGCGAGGTTTGTATTTCTGGAAAACTGACAGAAAATCGTTGGGAAGGTGGCAAAACTGGTTGGGTCCAATGGGTTATTCGGGTCAACCTGTTTCCCTATTTCTTTCTTCTCTCCCGTCCCCTCCTTTCCCTCTTCCTGATTGGTCAATTCCCAATCCCCCTTTCTCCTTTCTCTCCATCCCTCTTCATCATAGCCACACACGTGGCATTCCCATTGCTCCAGATTTTCTGGAGCCTTCCAAATTAATGGCAAAATGACTATTTTGCACTCAACTTCAATCGTTAATAACTTGTTTGTTATAACTCCGTTTTACTAACAGTTTTCACCTACGCGCTTGTAGGGCCATTCTCTATTCAATTATATCAAGAAATCTAATAAAATATATGAGGATAAAATATGTCCTCCTATAATTACGTTAAGCCAACTAAGGCATTTTCATCTTTTTCACTTATCGATAAATTTTACGACCTAAATTATAATAATTTCCGGAAACAAAACTTTAAAGGTTCTCAATTCATTTTTCATAACCATAAATCGATTTATTTTCAATTTTTCTGATATGGTAGAAACTAACACACAAATTAAACCCTATAAATTATGCAATCGTAGTATGAGCAAGTAGGGATCGTTCTAAGTCGGGGATTAGAAGGGATGCTAATCAACACAAACTGGACTTAAAAACTGTAAACTAGGTGAAACTAACACAAATAAGAACTAAAGGGGGGGGGGGGTTTGGACGAATTTTGCATTGAAACAACTAAATTGCAGAAA